AAATTTCCTGCATAAGATAAAATATCAAATTGTGTTTGTCATTTGCATATTCGATCTCTAGGTCTATTTATTTTATATGACTGTAATTCTGTGGCCTTTCTTGTTCCGTTTCCCCATTTCTACTGTCCTGGAAAATTGTTCTACACTGTCCTATTATATGGGTCTAAGTATCTGAGTTTTCTTGAGTTTTTTTCTTGTCAGAGTCTTCCTATACATGAAACTATGCAGTAAGCTACTTTTTATGTCTGGCTTACTCCCTGCAGGTTAATCCATGCTCCTGAAAATGAGATCTTCCCTTAAATGCTAAATAATGTTCCATTTATACACCATATCCACATATGCATTTCCTTTTTTCCCCAATAGTATTTATCATCTTCTAACATAAATGATATTCAAAATTATTATTATATATAAATACATAATATACAAAAATATATAATATTCTTTTTTTGTCAACCTTGGGTCAAGGTCAAGGGTAGTCATAGAATCAAACTGCAATGAATGACTGAAGGTTTTATTTTTCATTTTTTTTATGTGTACGTGTGTATTGCCTGGGTGTAGGTAAGTGCACCTGTTTTATGCAATGCCAGCGGAGGACAGAAGAGTCTGTCGGATCCCTTGGAACTGGAGCTATGGACAGTTGTTAGCTGCCATGTGGGTGCTGGCATTCAAACCTGGGTCTTCTGCAAGAACAACCAGTGTTCTTAACCACTGAGCCATCTCTCCAGCCCATGACTTAAGTTTTTATTCTTGGGAAAAGTCATTATTTGTTTTTTAAATATTTTATTTATGATTTTTATTTTATGTGTATGAGTGTATTGCCTGCATGCAGGTAAGTGTACCCATGTCCTGCAATGCCCTCAGATGATAGAAGAGGCCATTGAATCCCCTGGAACTGGAGTTGTGGACAGCTGTTAGCTGCCATGTGGGTGCTGGGATTCGAACCCAGGTCTTCTGCAAGAACAACCAGTGACCTTAACCACTGAGCCATCTCTCCAGCCCGGGAAAAGTTATTTTTAAAAATTATTTTATTTATTATTTTTTATTTTATGTGTGTGAGTACATTGCCTGCATGTATGTGAGTGCACCTCAATTGTGCAATGCCTGCAGAGGTCAGAAGAGGGTGTAGGATTTCCCTGAAATGTATGATTGTTAGCTACCATGTGGATGCTGGGTTTCAAACCCAGGTCTTCTGCAAGAGCAGTCGGTGCTCTTAAACATTGAGCCATCTCTCCAGCCCTGGGAAAAGTTATTTTTATTTCCCTTAAAACTCTGTTATAATGTGGATCCTTTGTGACCTCAAGCATGGGTTTGTCTCTGTCCCAGGCTATAATTATGTCATGACCATTCATTCCCAGGCAGGTGATCAGTTTTCTGCACAGCAGTTTTCTAATTTGTATCCTGAGAGAAAAGCTACTTTTGTGAGCAGTTGGGCTGAAAACAATGCTTATTTCAGGAAATACTCATCCTTGTTCCCAGCTCTCCTGGGGATTCCGAATGCTGTTTCTTAGTGAATTACATGGAAGAATTCTTTGAATTTTCTTGATATTCTTGTTAGTCCCCTAGGGCAGCCAAAAGCAAATATCACTGCATGAGTAGCTCAAACAGCACATGTTTACTTTCTCTCAATCCTGGATATGAGATCCTAATCAAAGCATCATATCCAGTTTCTACTGGCCTTTCTTTCTCTCATTGTCTTAGCGATGGTCGCCTCTGTGTGCTCTCATCTGACTTGTCTTCAGCTATGGTCAGTTCCAAATCCAATGGGATTGCATGAGACACTCTCTCAACAGTCAAAAAGATAAGTGCTGCTATACACATGCCCACATCTCAGCACTAAGATTAATGGGTAATATTCACAACCTGGGGTGTTGAAAATAGAAACGCACAATGTTAAGTATGTGAGTTGTGTCAGGAAGCACACCACATCCCAGTACTAACTAGCTCATATATTTGGATCCCAAGAGAGTTCACAGTATTTTGTAGAAACTAAGGAAATGCCAATTTTATTCATTAATCAAAACCACAAGGTTGCAACAATACAGATGGGGCTGGACCAAGGACATATGACCTTCTCAAGTGTGAGTACATCTTATTTTAAATGCTAGAGGGGAATATATAAATTTCAGAAGTTGTGATTTCTAGCCCATTGGAATTTATGGTTCAACTCTGCATAAGGTCGGTTATATCATTAAAAAGAAAATAGTATTATAAAGAAAAAGAAACCAAGAAAAAGTATTCACATTCTTGTATGTTATGCCTCTATTAAGTCAAGTCATGCTAATGTCATTTTTGTTCTTAAGTCTGATATATATTAAAAGCAAATGCTACTCATGTTTATATTAAGGAGGAGAGGTTTAAGCTTGTAGTTCCTCTTTACAACTATAAAATGTCTCTAAAAGAGTTCATAAATAGGCCTTTGATGAGCACTGAAAGGAGCCTCCTTATGCCCCTAATTCGGTAATTCTTCATGGTGGTATCATTAAGTGAAGGTTCATTAATACAGCTTTAATTAACAGCAATGCCATGTGCTTAGAAATATACCATAGACTCTTTAAATCTGTTGGCCTTTAAAATATTTTTATGTTTCCCAGAGGGTTAAAATTAATGCCCTTACATTTTATCAGCTCATTGTCTTAGAGATGCCTAAATAAGTTCACCGAGACATATTCTTGCATCAAGATGACATAATCAGGCTGCTTTGAAGAGAGCACTCTGAAAATATACAGTCTCAATACTGATTACCAGGGAGGGTAACAGTATCTTGTCAGAAAGATTATGTTCCTTCATCTGTGGATAACACATTTTTAGACAATATTGTATAAATAGCCAGATTGAAACTTCTCCTGTGTACTCTGATGAATTTATACAAGCTATAAAAGTTCAATAAAGAAAAAATGCTCTCATGAATAGTAATTAATTATTTCATTAGAAGGCATCATTGGTCACTCTTGTCTTTTTGAACTCTGATGTGACCTTTCTCGTATCTATTGACTATACTTCTGTCTTATGCAGCCAAGGAGACCATAGTTTTATGCTATCGGTATTAGACTAACAGGAATGTGTGTAGAGTCCTTCAGATGAGGGGAACATTGCAGTTGGTAGTATCTAAAGACTCGTACTTCCTATGGTATTTTCTGGAGTATAACAGCCCAAACAAAAAGCAACATACTTCCTACATTTTCTCAAAGAAAAATTGCAGAAATTATCATCAACATAAAAACATTCCCTCTGAATGCCTGTTCATTTTTGTGATGCTTCCCGTAGTGAAGACATCTATGGTTAATGCAATAGTTTGTTATATAATTTCATAAGTGTTAATACTCTCCAAATCAGAATACTATGACTAAAATCTGCTCTTAAAATATTTCAGAACTTGGGGCTGGAGAGACGGCTCAGCAGTTAAGAGCACTGTCTACTCTTCCAGAGGTCCTGGGTTCTCTTCCCAGCATTCACATGGTAGCTAACAACAATCTATAATCTCAGTTCCAGGGGATCTGACACACTCTTCTGGCCTCTGTAGGGCATTATAATGCCCTTACATACATGCAAGCAAAACAGTCATACACATAAAATAAAAATGGGTTCAGCAGCCTGAAGTCCCAGGAAAGCTCATGGCAAAGGTGAAGTCAAAAGACAGTCCACTGAGGGCTCTCCCTTCCCTGAAGAAGCTGGTTGTTTTTGTTCAGCTCAGACTGTCACCTGACTGGAGAGTAGGACTCAGTCTTCTCTTCTACTCACAGTTCACCCATTTAAATGTTAATGTCTCCCCAAACACCTCCCATGTGGACTAATGAACCATACCAAATATCTCAGGCTACTTCTTGCCCCTAAAAAATACATTTTATTACCAAAAAACCATAGATACATAAGGAGTTCACCCACCAAGACAGCTAAGTAAAAGCATGATTTCCAGATTACCTGTACTCGAATCTATTGAGAATAAAGCCATTAAGACAGCCTTCACCCCAAAGCTCAGAGAAGAAAGCAGAAACTTACCAAGACACTGTTGATGCTCACTCATCATTCCAAGACAAATTTTTCCCTCTGTCACCTCTGTATCCAAATGACAGAGATGAACTTGGTGGTCAATAATTGACCTTGTGACAGCAGGGGAATGCTTATCATAGCCAATTGTATACACTGCCTATTTCCTCCATTTATCTGAAAGGCCACGCATCCCATCCGAGACTGATACTGTTTGCATATGAAACGTTCCTCACAGTCTCATGCTACTGAGAACTTGGTCCCAACTGGTAGCACTATTTTGAGAAGTTATGGAACCTTGAGGAGGTGAGGCATTGTTCAAGAAGGTGGGTCATTTTGGGTGATCCTAAAGGTTATTTATATTCTGGCCTGCTTCTGCTCCTAGTCTGCTTCCAGTCCGCCCCTGTGATGCGACATTACACCATGTGCCCAGTCATATGGACAGAGTCGCTCTAGTCATCACGTTTTTTCCACCAAGATGGACAGAAATCCCCAGGCACCACGAGCAGAAACAAACAGTCCCTTCCTTAAATTGCTTCTGCCTGGTGTTTTGTCACGGAAATGAGAAAAGTAACAAAGGGATTTAAGAACATTTTTAGGACAGAGTAAATAAAATCTACAGGTTTCTTGAAATGAGTCATGGGGGTGCAGAAGAGATGGCTCTGTGCGTGAACTCAGTGCTCTGACAGGCCCTGAGTTCACTCACCAGTGCTTAGAACCCCAGCTCCATGTGACTCCAATGCCTCTGACCCTCATGAGTACCTGCACTCATATGCACATATCCACAAACACACACATACACATCAGTAAAAACCAAAATCTTTAAAAAGATATGAGTCATGAGCTTCCTCATGGCAATGCTAGCTCTAAGTGCAGTTAGCATTTCAGGAGTTAAAAGGGACCAGACCTTCTTTAGCCTGCTAAGTGCTCCCTGAGGGAACATTCACACCTTTGATTGAAAGCAGGCTCTGAACCTTCTGGACTGCCAGAGCTGGTTATGCTGCTGCATTTACCTGGCGTATGGTCTGAGGCTGGACTTAGGGCTTCAGTAGGAACTGTGCTGCCAATGGCCCAGTCTAAATCATCTTCAGGATCTTGTGTGAGTCCACAGACTGCAGTCCAGTTTCCTGAGGCTGTTTCAAAATTGCAGCTTCCTGGAGTGCTTGTATAGTATCCTAGTGAAACAAAAAGATTCATTAGTGCTTCAGGAAATGGATACAGCATTCAATGCCCACTATTTTTCTGATGGTTTAAAATTGGTATTAGTACTATTGTTAATTCTTTTTTTTAATTTTTAATGTTTTTTTGAGTTTACCATGTATGCATCCGTGTGCATGATGTGTGAGTGAGTGGGGCTTGCTCATGCCATGGCATGTGTGTAGAGGTCAGAAGACAACCTCTGGTGTCAGTCTTTGCCTTCTATCTTGTTTGAGACAGGGCCTCTTTACTGTTTACCTTTATACAAGTCAGTTAGCTGGCCTGGGAGGTTTCAGGAGTTCTCCTGTTTCTGCCTCTCATCTGAGTTCAGGAGCACTGAGATTACAGACACAAGCTACTGTTCCCAGCTTTGCATGGATTCTGAGATTCAAATTCAGATCCTCATACTGTAAAGAGGTGCTTTACTTACAGAATCTGCTCTACTGCTTGCAGATTTCAAGTCTATGTACACACACAAACATATCGTGACAGTGATATGGATAATTCTGGTTGAATGAACAAATAGCATCCGGTGTCTTGGTGCAATCCCGTGGTTGAGCCTGCTGATTGAACAGCACAGGCCAAGCCAAACCATCTATGAAAGGAGAGATGCCTTTGCGAATGCACTAAGGCCTGCTGGGTACAAGCCCCTTTGGGTATTGCTGGAACAGATTTCTCAGCTGGCCACTAAGGAATGAAAGACATTCTCTTCTAAAATTATTGATTGAAAACTCATGAAAATTAAACTGTTCACAATGAGAAAACTTAATGGTTGATCACTGAAAGTCCAGCAGTCATGTGTGAATAGTTCTAAAGTAACACCCTGAGATCCAGGCTTCCATTTGATCATTCCTTTGACACCTGACTGTGTGACACAGAGAATGAGTTATTGTTTACTTAATCAGTATGAATCAACTGAGATAGCCATTGATATTTCCTTTCTTTCAAACAGATAACATTTCACATTATTTTCAAACTTTCCTCAGTCATAGCTTTTTCTTAACCCAAAGCTAATATTAGCATATTAAATCTTAATCAGAAAATAGGCTATGGTGTTAAATGGATATCAAACATACAGCAAGCAGAACTTTAAAGTTCATACTCAGTGCTCTGAATTGGTATGAATTTCACACTATCATCATTTTACTACTTTAAGCATGACTTCCTCTTATCCTTAAAGACTGGAAGAAG